GGACCGTCGACACTGTCGCCTCCGATGTAATGGAGGATGGGACCACACACCTTCCTTATGGCCGGCGGCAGCTCCTCGATGGCTTGGCGGCCGATGTGGTGGGGATGCGAGTTGGGCCCACTGATGCTCGTGTATAGGCTATGCACCGGTGGCGATGCGGGCTCGTCCTTCATGCAGAGTCCAATCTGGACGTCGCGGTCGCGCCTGCTCAGGGCAGGGGGATCCTCCTTGACCTGATGAGGTAAGGATATCGGCTTCAGCTAGAGGCGATAGCGCGGCAGGGACCCACGCCGGCAACGGTGGTGCCAAGCCCACCTGATGGAGCGAGCGCTCCGTCATTATCTCCGACTGGCGAGGAGGCGTGGCCGCTGCTCCTTCTATTGGTCCTCCTCATCGCAAGAGGAGAGGATGATCTCCTCCTTGGCGGAGGAGCCGGGCGTGGTGGACGCTGAGGGGCTCAGAGAGTGCGAGCGCCGGCTCGAAGATCGACCCGAGGATGAACTACCACCACCGCCGCCTGCTGGCGCTGACCACCACAACTTCGTCATCGACGCTATAGGAGGAGGGGCACAGAGAGGTAGAGGACAGGCCGGGAGAGGACGAGGCGATCAGAGAGAAGGAGATGCTTCCACGGACAGCATTGCGGACCGATGCAGACCCGCGTTGGATGACTTTCACGCTCCAGGCAGCGCGGTCCGAATGGATGCGCACGGTTTGCAGGCCGGTGTTGGAGATGCCCTAACGTCGCATTCTTAGAATTAGCAATAAAGTAGTAGTCCCTCCGTCCGAAAAAGCTTACAAGCTTTTTCGGACCGAGGAAGTGTTGAGTATATTGATTAGATTTTTTTTGCATGGTAATACATGTCTCATTCATATCATAAAGAACAAAGTACAAGTCACGTAAAAACCGACATGACAAAACTGAAAAGATAGCAGAACATCTCTGAGCTTGACACTAACGACCGTCACCTGCCTCCGGCACCACCACAGCAGCCACCGAAAAAAAGAATGACGGATCACCTCCTCACCCGAGCTCGACGCGGCTCCATCGCTGATATGCAGCTTTGCGGACCTCCAAGGTGGCTCACCAAAAGTGAAGCCATTGCCGTTGAACGAATCAGACCGGGGCAACACCACGGACACGCCATCGAACTCCAGATCTGGCACCCCACCACGACTAAAACGCCGAAGAAGGAAACCATAGGATAGACTAAGAAATATTCTGGCTTGACTTGTACTTCAACATGACCATGCACTCCTATATATATACCCACGAGGCTCAAACAATACAATGAACAACTATCCCACCAACCCTCTCTCCTTTCTACCATGATATCAGCCTAATCTCGATTCAAAACCTAGCCGCCGCCGCAATTTCCGCACCGTGCCGCCACCGGGGCTGTCAATCTACATGATCACCACGGGGGCCGCACAACCCGTACCTACGATTTGTTCGCCAATCGTGTCGATCGGCTGTCCTAGAGTCTTTTCCTTGAACCGTTGATTGAGGTTTTCTCTCTCACCAATCGGTTGATCGGTGTTTTTTTTTTGGTTTTCTGATCTACTATCGATTCGTGTTGCCCGCCGCCTCGTTGGTCGTCTCAACGCTCGTCTACTTCATTGACATCTTCAGCATCTCCGCCTGCATCGCAGCTAACGCGCGGCCGCTGGCCATCGCGTGCCTGCACGGGCGTGCATGGGTGCACTTCCACGCAGTTGGCTGCTTACATCCGTTGGCCCCGCGTTGGAGTTGTTCCTTGCATCACGCATGTGCCTCTGGATTAGCTCTTTTGCATAACGCGTATGCACAGATTAGCATGCCTGCCCGATGTGTTTCCTAGTCTGGTGCTTCTGCGGTCCTGCCCCGTCGGCCATGCTTCATCCGCGCCGCGACCGACCTGATTAGTTGGTTGTGCACGCATCCGTCGATTCAATGAAATCAACGTGTAGAGTCTACACGTCTTTCCATCGATCGAGCAACGGACAGCGGTTGCGTCGTCCTTTTCAGACCGCAGCGTCGTCGTTTCATGGTTCTTTCCGTGGTTTGCATCAACCTGCATGCTACCGCTGCGTCACCCTTTGGGTCATAGTGCCGCTGCATGCAGTCCACTGCCGTCTCGAGGATGTCCGCTTCCGACCGTCCCTGTGGCTGCACCGACCCTGGCGTTGCCACTGCGTCACCCCATCAGGCCATAGCGAGTGTGCCACGCGGTCCTTGCCGCCACCCTGTGGTTTTTTCTCCGGCAGCATCGATCCACGCGCTGCCGCTGCGTCGCCCCTTCAGGTCGTAGTGTTGCGGCCCGCGGTCCACTGCCGGCCCGAGGCTGTCTGCTCCAGGCCGCCCCCGTGGTTGCACCGACCCTCTCACTGCCACTGTGTCGCCCCATCAGGCCGTAGCAAGCGTGGCTCACGGTCTCTGCCGCCGCCCTGAGGTCTTCCCCGTTGTCGCCCCAACCCGCACCCTGCTGCTGCTTCGCCCCTTCGGGCCGTAGCGCCATGGCACGCGGTCTACTTCGTCGTCCACACAAGTCGACTCCTTTATGGTATGCACCACGCTGTCTTCCTCGGCGCGGGAATGTCACAGCCCGCGCCGGTCTTTGTCACGCTGTCGGATTCTTCCTCGCCTACTTCGAGCACCGCCGCCGCTCTCCTAGCCGCCGCCGCCGCCTCCTTGGGCCGCCGCCGCCGCTCTTCTTCCAGGTCCACGGCGACTTCCTCGACACCGGCTACCCCGACTCGACATCGACCACGACATTCTTCCACGACTACCTCGACCATGGCTACACCATCCTACGCTCTCAGCTACAAACGGCACAAAGGGCTACCGCCTTGCTTGAGCAACCTCGTCAGTTTCCACTCCAGCCATGACTTCCGCGATGCATCGACCATTATGAAGCAACCTCGTTGGTTTC